AAATTTCTCTTTTGTGAGTGTCATTATAAGGTGTGATGAAAAATACAGTGAATGCTGCTGCCAAGTGTCATCCAATGGAAAGACAGGCTAGGTTGGAAAGGTGCCAACATTATGGTGGCCGCATTCAATTTATTTGCCAGATTTGTCACAAAAGTGTTTTGAATTGATTCAGAGTATCAAGGGAGACACAATATTGTAACTAAAGAAATAGGACTTCCAAGATTGCTTCTGAAAGTGGTATGGGTTGCTTCCAAGATTCATCTATTATAAGCTCTGTCATTGTCAACATGGGTGGACATATATGGCTGTGGCATGACGCTTTTGATTCTTCTGGGAAGATACCAAGAAGGGCAATAGCTGAATCAACCCCAGGGAGGGCTAACCCTGGGTTTTTAGAGAATCTTCACATTGATTTCCACAGCGGTTGTGCCAAGTCTGTGCTCCCACCAACAGTGGAGAAGGGTTCCGTTTCCCCTTAACTCACCAGCATTTGTTACTGGTTGCTTTCTTGATGATAGCCATGCTTTCTGGAGTGAGATGGAATTTCAGCATTGTTTAATCTGCATTTCCCGAATGACCTGTGATGGTGAATATTTTTTCAAGTATTTATTTCCCATTTGTACTTACTTTTTCTAAGGAATGTATATATTTTTCACATGTCCGTTCTTGGATTGGATCTTTGAATTTGGGTGGTCTGATTTTTTTTCAGTTGTTTATATGTTGCTATATGATTAGTCCTTTGACTAAAGAATAACTTGCATAAGTTTTTTCCACTCTGTGAATTATCTTTTCACTTTGTGGGTGAATTCTTTTGCTATGCAAAGCTTTTTAATAAGATGCGCTCTTAAGTGTTGATTCCTTGTGATAGTTCCTGTGTGATCAGGGTTTTGTTCATAAAGTCTTTGCCTACACCTATGTCTTCCAGGTTTCTGCCTATTCTGTTTTCCAGCAGATTTAGTGATAAGACAGATGTGATTTCTTATACAATGGAGTATTATTCAGCTATAAAGAAAAATACACTTGAGACATTGATAGCTAAATGGATGGACCTTGAAACCCTAATCACAAATGAAATAAATCAGACACATTTGTAAATATTACATTTTCTCTTTGGTATGAGAAACTGAACAGGTCAATAAGAACATAAATGTATGATAGATATTGTAAAACAGAAAGAAATTATTCAAAAAGAAAAGGGAAATCGGGAGGGGTGAGGACAAAAGAAGGATGGGAAAGAAAAATGAGAAACGAAGGATAAGATGAAAATTAAGCTTTGTGAATGGGGAGGGGAAGAAATAAAAAGTGCTATTATATACAGATGCAGATTCCCAGTAATGAAGGTGATCATTGTATTTATCTAAGTACACTAATACACTTTAAAGGAAGAATAATAGGCTAAGTATATTTAAAGAGAGGGAAGGTATTCTGAGGTGAGTGGATGGCAATATGGCTTTCATTATAAGATTTTAAATATTCACCTTATTTATTGATCACATCCTATGAAGAGGAGTAAGTGGATCCACAAGTAGTATTGAAATCATGATCTGACATTTAAAAATTCTTTATTTTCCACAAGTCAGGATCCCAGTATGAAATAGCTATTTTCTACACTGAGATGGGTCAGCAGAAAGGATGCTTTCCAGTGAAGGCAGGAGTAAGAGAAAGCAGAAAGCGGTAGCGGAGCACGCAAGAACTGTTAGCGGCCTCGAACCAACCGCATCCTCACTGAGTTCCTTATTTCTTTTGTAGTGACTTAATATTTTCACCTGTAAGAGACTGAG